CACTTTTATAGCAGTGTGTGGGTGGTTAGGAAGGTTTGTATACGTTTCCCAGCAGTGCTCATGGGCAAACATAAACTTTGGTTCGCTGACCCCCAGCTCTTTCCTTTTTTCAATTGGAAAAATAGTGAAGGTATAACTTGATCCTAAATAAAAATGCAGCAGGTTGTCTATAACCCTGAAGGCCCAACAGTGTTGTTAAAAGTGCCTAGGACTAATAGGTATCTACTGTTGCTTCCAAATACTCTCTTGATTTCTTTTCAGATGTCAAATGGTTTAAATTTTCAAGCAACAGTAATATCTGTTTGATAGGTAGTGTTACTTTTGTGATTCCAGCTGAAAGAAATGTAGTTGTGGTGTGATGGGCATGTGTGTTTCCTTAAAATTTTGGTGTGTCTGCATTTGTGGAGTACAAAAGGCCTTGCGAGCTGTTGAGAAGTGTTGAAAAGAACTAAATTTATTTATTTATTTATTTTTAGTCCAATATTGTTAGCTTTGGTCTTTAAAAAAATAAGCACAGACAACCCAAAAAGACTCCACCCCTGAGCAGTAATACCTGTCAGATATGGAGGTTGTGGTGGTTTTTTTTTTTTTTTAAGCCTTTGAAAGATTACTGAAATGTATTATTACTATTATTTTAATGAAAAGGAGGCAATTACAGGTCCTGAAAAGGGTAGAGTTTCATAGGGGTAAAGGGAAGAGTTCCAAGTGGCAGAGTAAATGACATTCAATATGCAGATGCTTGTCAGCATTGCACATGTGCTTCCCTGGAGGAATTCCTCTTCTCTTTTAGAATATTTTTCTTTATTTTCCTYGAAGTTAAGAAAGATAAGCCTTAGAATGACTAAATCATTCAGTAAAATTAGGTCAATTTGTGAAAGTGTGATGTATTTGCAGTAATTGTGTTAGCTGAGGTTAAGGCTGTACAAGTCCAGGCAGTAACCTGTCAGCATGAATTAAATATTAATCCCCTGCTGCAGTGTCTGAACTGCAGCCAGCAAAAAGTCCTCCAAAGTCTTCAGGTTAATCACCTAGTTAAAGTTTGTTTTGGCCTCCACCTCCTTCCAACACTAACTAACCTATTATTTTAATATAGCACATTCTTAGAGAACTTGAAATATTTTAAGTCTGTCCCATTTTCTGATACAGTGTATTATATCAAAATGGATTTTGTGCCACAGAATACAAACTTAGATAAAGGAAAAATAATTCAATACAGTATTCAAATTAGTTCCTTTTTTCTATGATAGTCGAGTTTAACTGGTTTGAGAAACACATTATTTGCAATTTCTGCAAATATATATAYGTAAATAAATACATATATGTAGTTTTAACATAGACCAATTCTGATGCTCATAGCTTTAAAGATGCGTTACCCAAAGATGGCTGATTTACAGAGACCTGCTCAGAATTGCTCAACTGTAATAGCTTTATAGCACACTTGTTTCATTAAGGTAAACAATAAAACCAGCAAGGTAGAAGTGAAGCCAACAAAACTATTTGTAGTGTAGAAAGTTGCMTCAAAACATGAAAAGCATATCAGAAATGCAGGCAAATAATTTCCAAATAAAGACAGTGATTTTTTTTTTTTCTGCATCTGCTTTTTTTTCATGTAAGAAAGGCAATACTAAATGACAGCTGTATCTTAATTGGCAGCAGCAAGAAGCTAATATTGTGCTGAAGCTTTTCTAAAGTTTAAAAACAGTGTTATTACTCTGTGCAGATACAGYAAGCACAGGGACAGTTTTATCTCAGAATTTCTCTGTTTCAGTGATTTATGTGTGTGTGTGTGTGTGTATATATACATATACATATATATATATATATTGTTTATATATTATTTTTCCTTTTTTTATTTTGACATGTATCAGTGATGCCAAAGATAGAAGCAGTGTCTCTCGGAGCCAAAATTGGCATGATGTATTTGAATTAAATATTAAATTGATTAACCAAGACATAGGTAACATGGAAAGGAAAAAAAAAAAGTTCAATTATTTGACTCCATTGGACAATTAAGTTTGTCTTCATGTTATGAAGAATGTTGTGTTTTCTGTCTTTCGCCATTTTGAATTCTTACAAATTTTTGGCTCTGATTTCTTTAATTGACTCTTGATATTGGCTTTTGCATAATGTGTTATGTGTTATATGTGACAAAGCTAATAGGAGTTGAGAAGACTATTAATAACTCATAAAGTTAACATTTTTTTCTCTGTTGAGAACAGAAATACTAACTGGTGAGTCTTTAATAGAATGAATAAAACTTATAAACTACATCCACATTAGTAATAATACTTGTGTGGAAATAGTATTTCAGATCTGGCTGAGAGTTTTTTCATCACTTTATATTTTGATTTTTTGATTGAATTTTAATTCTGTGAAAAAGGGATGCATAGTAATGTTTATTTTTAGGTTATTGTGAAAATAAATAACTTCTAATATTTCCTGTCTTTATAATTAARCTAAACCATTTCCACATTTTCTGTTTTTTGTTTATTGTTGGTGCTCTTGCAGTATTGAGAAGTTGAGACCACTCAGCTGTGCTGTACTTGTCTTGGAAACATATTATCTTACAACTTTTAGCTTGTACAGTGTTGTTATGAGCAAGGAAATTAAAAATGGCAAGAAAAGAAAAYGAATTTCCTTTAAGTTTAGCATTGCAGCAATGTGTTACATAAGATCTGATTGAAAACAATTTCTTTCAAACCTTTTAAGGAAATATTTTCTGTGTCTATGAAACTTAAAGATATAAATTTCTCCTTCTCCTCTCTCCCTACATTGTCCTGCACTTTTAAAAATGTTATTGGTGTTCGTTGTATTCGTGTTACATGTGCCTCTTGTAAGGAAGAAAAGAATCTGCTTGTGGAGGCTGCTTGCAAAACAGGGTTTACATGCCTGAGAAAGTCACTCGGAGGAGCCCAGTTGATAGCAAGTTTTTAGGAGATTTGTGATTAACRGTGTGCCTGTTTGCTGTGTTTGAAATTAATGTCTCATATGTTGACACAGAGACTTTTCTGCAGTTGTTTGAAAAGTTGCTGCCAGCTCTGATCATGCTGTTTGACCATAAGGAGCTAAGATAGAAAAATCTCAGGTGTTTTGTTTGTGTGAACTCTTGTGGTAAAATAAATGCCTCCGTACTTATGGCTGTAATTTGAATGGAACAATTCCTGCACTGCTTGGACTGTTGGAAGATTCCTATTCAGAATTCCAAGCAATGTGCAAGTTAATGCTGGTTTGTCACTCCGAAAGCTGTCAGGACCCACGCGAAGTGGCCAGTCTCTCTGCTCTGCAGCTGCATTTGCAGTTTGTGTTCCCTGGAGTTGGACATTGACTCTTTTTTTTTTTTTTTTTTTCCCCCTTCTGTCTTCAGGAACTGTTTCTATGAGCTGTGTAGAATTCTGTCCTAATAGGGTATTTCCAGTTAGATTTGCCTGAAGTTGGCACAGATACATGTTCTAAAGCCAGCTTGGTAATAAAATGATGGGGAAAAGGTGACAAGATACGGCATATGTAGGGGCCTCTGAAGGTTGATGTTTTGGACGTAACGAATTTTCAGAAGCGTTTTGCCTGGTGAGAGACACAAGATTTAGCTGCAGAGGTCGCGCGAGGTTTGTCGGTGAGGCTGCCGCATCAGAGCTTATTGCAGCAACAGCCGCCTTCCCGGYGCGGAAGCGGTGCCTGGGCACAGACCTGGCCACGGCAGGACTGTCGCGTGTGTGTCCTGGAGCAAGCGTTGCAGAGCCTGGCGGGGCCTTCTGGCAACTGCGGCACCTGAGCTGTGCGGAGGTATTTCTTAAAGCTGCCCTGTAACGTTGGGTTGGATTGGCTTAGTGCAGAGAGGCGTTAAGCAGGACCATGTGTCAGCTCAGGAATTTTAGGAAGATTGTTCCGCTCTTATTTGTAAAATAAAATAAAAACTTAACTTTTGAAATGTGTARAATTAAGAAATTAAGAACGAGAACAGAAGAACTTTAATAGCAAAACCTGTACTGTTAAAATAATATATAAAATGGAGCTGATATCTGAAACTAGCTCATAACAACTTCTGACATCTGGTTTTCAAATTTGTGCAGGCTGCATCCTTTGTCAGTAGGAATACATACCATGTTTAGGTGTCTAGTACTTGTGTAGGCCCTAGCTCCAGGTCAGTGGTTTTTGATACCGTGCTTTGTAATTCAGTTTGGGTATATGAATAGGGCATTATAGGATTATTGTGTCATTTTTTTGCAGATAGGATAAATTGTTCAGTGGAATTGTGTAGTTCTGCTGAACATTCTCTAGCCAGAGCTGTGATCCTTCATCATCTGCCACTTTAGGAATCTAGTCTGCACAAACCACTCTTGGGAATCCTTGCTCATCTGATAACCAGTGTGAACATCTCTCATCGTGTCTCAGAGTTTCTTTTGCTGGCAAAATGAAGAATGGCAGCCACTTAAATGGTGAAGCTGTAATGGAGATATAACAAATCACACAAGTATGTTAGATTATTAAGAAAGTTTCTGCATTACTAAGGTCGGAGCCGTAGAATTATTTTAAATGCAAAATGCAGTGAACCCTGAGATGAGTTTTTTTATTAACTTGTGTGTGGCAGACATGATGAACAAGATGCTATAAAATGCAAATAGTAATGACAGACAAATACTTAATATCTGACAGAGTAATGATTTACCCTAACAAGGTATCAGTGTYTCATAATGTGAATTAAATGTGCGATAGAAAAATTTTGGGGCTTTGTGTTTTTTTTTTTCTACCAACAGCTTGCTTTAATTTAATTTTTCAAAGTATTTATTGAGTCATAAGGATATAAAGCGGTCAGTTCAGCCAGGATCCAAACCTGAAATTTTGTTTGCATTCTGCTTTAACTGTGGTCTTCTACAGATTAACTTTATTGCTTTTACTCAACAAATTGATTTGAATTCTATATGGAATGCAAATAAATCTCACATAATATCTTCTACCAGAAAAATCAGCAATAAATGCTGGTATTAGAAGCAGCCTCCAAATTAAGTTTGTTTTGTTGGATATGGGGACTTGGCACACAAACGTTAATTTGGCAACAGATACTCAGGACAGTTACACTTGCTTTCTATTTTATACATCAGCAAATTGCTGTCCTTCAGCTGCTGATAGATACGCCTGCAGTGTGCTGGGATGTTTCACCCCGCCTTTAGAGATTAGACACTTTCTTCGGAGGCAGCAAGGTAAGTCTGTTTCTTTTCAACTCTTTCTGCTTTTGAAATGGAATCTTTGCAAAGGATTTCCTTTCACTTTGTTATGCCATTTTGGGTAACTTAAAAAAAAAAACCTGTCTTTTTCAATGGCAGTTGATATATCTCTCCTTAAAAGTCCAGCTATAAAAGTTGTCCCACAGAAACTTAGAGGAAAAASGGTAAGATACCTCATTGAATCTCTAGATATAAGGAAAATGATGCTTTTATTACTTTTTTATTTTCATTTTTGGAAAGGAAGGAAAAAGGAAGGGATAAGATGAATGAATTGAAAACTTTGAACATTGTTGCTAGGGTTATTCTACCTTTGGAAAGATTCTGCCTTGATTCAACTCCGTCACCTCTTTCCTTACTGGACTGGGAGTGTCGTGATGGCAGAGAAGAGGAACAGAGAACAGAGAAAAGGTATTTCTGGCTCACATGACAAGTAGCATTGAAAAGTTCACAAGAGCAATTAATCAAATGTTTTTTAACAGAATTTATGTCATGATATAGGTGCAGGAGAAAAAGTAGTTTGGAGTAAGAAGCAAGCTAAGCTGAGAAGATAAAAACAATTCCTGTTTTCAAATATTATTTGCTTTTACTCCATGATAAACAAAGATATGCTGTGCCATTTCACTGCATATAGGATAGTTAAAAGTCCAGTACTTTGTAAAAGAAAAAGGAAGTTTAGTTCTTTCCTTAATTCTCTTGGCCACCAGAATTCTTTATCACAGTCCAACATTCTCCTTTTCAGAAGCCRCAGCTTTATCAGACTGCAGCTGGTGGTCATGGGAGATAAAATTTGCAGCTCTACAAAATATGTAAAATTCTCTGAATTGCCCTCTTAAAMTGTTTGTATAGAGCACTGAACCAGCACGTGTCTAAGGTTTTAACTAAGTTAACATTTATTGTGTAAATACATTGCTTTATAAATGTTCAAGAGATCAGTTCATTTTTCAGATAAGACGCAGTTATTAACTAAAAATGAATGTTTAACAAACTGCACTGAGTTTTTTTTTAATATAATTTTTTTTTTCTGTAAAATGTACTAAAGTAAACTAAACAGGCTTTTCTTCTTCCCCTCCTCCCCCACTCGCAAATATTGAATGTTTGGTAAGCATCTGGACATGCTTGTAATATTTYTATTTGTAGATGAAAGAGAAGTATTGACATGTTTGTTACTCCCGGAAAATGGTTTTGTTTTGATCGTCATAGCTGCTGTTGAGGGAAAGTATGTTGAGGGAAAAACATCAGGAACTGGCTTCTGCCTTGATTTCTTAGGACCATCTATCTTCCCATTTAGTCAGAAGACTGAAAGAGGCAGCCACGTCATAGCCAAGTATTTCGTAGCAGTGGGGAAGAACAGAAAAACAGGTGGTTCGGGAAGATGCAGGAGGCAGTGAGACTCCTGCCTGCAGAGACAGGCAGACCTGGAAGGCCCAGGCAAAGTTGCAGGGAGTAGAGGCTGTTGGTTTGTGTGGAAGGAGTGAATTATTGCCGGTTGAGCTTGGAAGGATACTGTCGAGAGAATCGGAATAATTGCATTTATATAATCTGGTAAAAAGTATAAAGCTCATTTTGCTTTCAATTTATAGCTGAATAGTGCACAGTACTATAAAATGTAACAGTTGGCTTGCACGACACAGAAAACTTTACTTTCTAATACAGTCAATTTCTATATGGGCTTGCTTTCTTAGTATGCAGATGCTGTCATTGGGTACAAAAATGGTGAATTGGTACTTGGACACCTGATGTTTTGGCCTTTCTTGACCTTTCCAGTTTAATTGTTTTAACCATTCAGGGTCTTTAAGCATAAAAGCTTTCTAACTAATCCTGGGGGAGTGTTTGATATCTTCTTTTTGCGAAATTGTTTTTCTATTGAAAGATATGTGAACTTCAGTTTTTAAGAAAATTAGCAAAGAAAATCTGACCATTCCTTGTTATGGAGAAGAGCAACTCACGCCATGTATTTTTGTGTGGCTGAAGGCTGTAGGAAGGTTCAGCGAACTCATTTCAATGAATTTAGTAAGGATTTTTTTGCCGTTTCTTTTAAACCKAAGAAGAATTCTATTGTCCAAACTGAGTTGGAGATTACAGAAGATATTACAGCATTGCATTTAGAAATAACACAGCTTCTAAAACGGTGAATTTACTTCAGAATTACTAATCTCGATAGAATGGCAATGGTTGTCCCTTGTATCCATGTCTAGGTATTGCAGGCTTCTTGAGGAGCAGGATGACAACTCAGTTTTGTTTCACAAATAGAGCGTACAGGTGCTTATGACTTATGGTAGTTTCCTTGAGGTCAACTCAATTAATAATCCTTTTAATCTTTTATTGAGAAAGATAGTGCTCCTAGACTGGTGAGGTGTCTGCATGCTGAGTTCTCTTGACTTAAAAGCAAGCTTGCTCTTTCTTTGTCAGCTCCCTTTGTCATCATGGAAGGATTTCCTTGATTCACCCTATGGAGCGAGTCGCTGGCTGGGGGCTGCTGGACGTGTCCGATGCTGTGGTTAGCGCCGCTCAGCCGCGCTGATAGCCAGGCACTTGCCTTGTTGGTTTGGCCCGTGAACAACAACGTTAAACTTAAGGTGCTTGTGAGCCTGGTGAAGTGAAACATGGTGAGATGGGCTTCTTATAATACCAGAACACACTGTTTCCACACCCAGGCTGTCATTTAACCGYGATAACCCATCTGGTGCTTGTCCCCATAACCTGCTCAGCCAGCAGCAAAATGACAGCTAAAAATAGGTGTTTTATAGCAAGAGCTCCCAGAGCCGTGTCAATGTGTAGTTCAACTGCGATTCTGAATAATCCTAGAGAATATTTTGCCCTAAGAACAGATGCATTGTGTTCTCCTGCTTGGCTCGAGGCACGCTTTTCCAAAAGGTAGATAATTCTAGTGAAATGCAAACAATGGACATGAGGTTATAACCWGAGGTTAATAGAACCCAATAAAGAGGTTATTTCCAGGTTATTTACAGTTTTATTAGATTTATTTCTCTGTTTCTTTGTTCATCTTTTTTCTTTTTTCTTTTTTTTAATTTCCTGATTTGTTTCGTGGGCTGTAAGAGGCTGCTATTGTTTGACTGCATCATGTTTCCCAGATGACTGAGCCATTATTATAAACAAATCCTCTCCTAGATAAACTAATGAGTAGCCTGCAGCAGTGTCCGTGCACAGCGCATGCCTGGCGGGGTGCAGCAGGGTAGCTTGGAGATAATCATTTCACAGGTAATTGTTTTCCAAGCACYATGGGTTCAACACATAAAATAGATTGGGATGCAAAGACTTATGTGTTCCTGTGGTTAAGAGGTCAGCAGTATTTTTAGATGCTAGCTGAATTCAAGTATATTTTTGTATTATTTGTTTACATATAGGGCCAGGATTTTTTGGTGTAAACAACCAAATTTAATGAAAGCCAGTTTTGTTATGTTAGATTTTTGAGTTTAACTTGAAAGGGGAAAAATAATAAAGGTATTAAGATGAATTTTTCTGGAGATGAAGTAGATTTGTCTGCGRTGGCTGCCATTTGAATGCCTTCCAGAATAGTCACCTGGTCTGACATACGGTGACTGTATAGCGGCTTTCTAGTAGGCTGCAATGGACACACTCAGTTTACTTGCCAGGGCAGCAGAGTAGACTTTTGTTGATGCATCAAACATGTGAAAACAAATATGCAGTGTAACCTACTGTTTACCGAAACAATTCTGTCTTCTTGCCAGAGCCTCCCAGTGGACTGTAATATATATATATTAACTTTGTGCACATAAGTGTGACTTAACCATACTGCTGATGACAGTAAAGAAATTGCAAGTAAATATCTGTTAAGCTGAAAGAAGGATTCAGAAAGTGAGTAAAACTTTTATCTAAACTTGAAATTCTTTAAAAGATCTTTAGCTGAGAGGGCTGGATTCAATGCATTGYTGTGTTTAGTTTTAAAAAAGTGATAGTGTTACTTCACTAATCTATCTCATCATGAATCTTGAGGCTGGGTAAGGTTACAACCAGAACATACTTTTCTACTAGCTAAGTAAACTGTGGAAAAATAAACTTAAAATTAGACTTTTCAAACAACACATTTTTTTTAAGAGGATGAGGGAAGATGAATCTTGAGACCATTCAGCCCCTGGAAGGGGTACATTCTGTATCAGAATTGTTATTTTAAAGCCATCTGCTAAAATATGCATTGATTAAACAATCGAGGACAACATGCTGCTTTTGGAGCGTACGAGATAGAGTGCCAAGCAATCTTCTGCAGGGAGATCTGCAGTATTGAGCAAGAGTGCCCTGATGTAGCCGTTGGGCAGACCTAATGTCATGGAAGAAGGAAGTACAGAGGTATTTCTGGCTCCGGAGGCTGGTGAGCCGGAGAGGAGACTGTCCCTACTACCGCTGCGCCCAGGCTAGCGGACAGTGCTGGGACACCAGTACCCACTCTGCATTGGAAAGAGTGGYGTCGGGGTGCAGAGCGACAGGAATTTTATCTTTTTCTTTTCTGAAAAAAAAAATCAATGTGGGAAAGTGAGCTGCCATTTTATGACCCTTTTCTTTCTCTTTACTGTTTTTGTGATGATGTTTTTCTTTATTTGCTCTCTTGCCTTGCTCTCTTGTTGACATTATGATTTTGAAGCTTCTGGAGGTATTAATTTAAACCTGTACATTTATGACAATAAGCATTTTAAACCAGTTTTTATTTTTTGCGGTTACATTCTCATTCATTTAACACTCATCAGGCTGAAAGGAAACTTTTTTTTCCCCTCTTCTCTCCGTTATTACTAGAGACTGTATGAGGTGTATCTTGTTCCTTGCGGTTTGGTCAGCTCACTTGCCCTAGGTTGTGTGATACGGGAGGAGCTGTAAGCAGAACCAGACTTTACCGTTGTGGCCTTTGTTGATCCCATTCCTGGAAGATGAAACTTCAGATGAAGTGTATAAATCATTTACTTCTCATAGAAGTTATTTCTGGAGTGAGGGTTGTGAGGGCAAGGGGGCTTTCCAGAATAGCACTTGCAGCGGGAGACTGTTCCTGCGGCAGTCGGAGCCTCTCACCCTCCTTGTTGGGACAATCCAAAGGTAACACCCAAGGTGAACCCTTCCTGAGAATGCTGGCCAGTGTAGTTTCAGCCAAGTAGGCTGAAAAACTGCTTCATCTACAGAGGAGAACCAGGCAACTTGGTGTTTATTAGGAGAGCATGACGGAATAGTGAGCACGCTTCGGTCTGTGGAATGTGAAGTGTCTGTTTGGAAAAAAAAGAGGCTAAACATTTTTAGCCAAGCATTCAAAAAAATTCTTCAGTAAGAAAATGAAAATTGCTTATAAACATTTATCTTTTGAGGAGAAGGCCAGTCTTGTGTTTCTTTTGGGGCAGAAGAATGTCCCAAGAGTGGAAATTTTCTTACAATATCTGCTCTGTAAAGCT